GTGGTGGCCCCGTGTCCCAGCCCTGGACACTGCAGCTCCTGCCACTCTTCTATTTTCCTTTATTTTCCCCCTTTTTTTTCTTTCTTTTTTCCCGTTTTTCACCTTTTCCCTCAGATTTGTTTTTCTTTATTTTTTCCCGTTTTTCTCCTTTTCCCTCAGATTTGTTTTTCTTTCTTTTTTCCCGTTTTTCACCTTTTCCCTCAGATTTTTTTTTCTTTCTTTTTTCCCGTTTTTCACCTTTTCCCTCAGATTTGTTTTTCTTTATTTTTTCCCGTTTTCCTCCTTTTCCCTCAGATTTTTTTTTTCTTTCTTTTCTCTGTTTTTCACCTTTTTCCTCAGATTTTTTTTCTTTCTTTTCTCCGTTTTTCACCTTTTTGCTCAGATTTGTTTTTCTTTCTTTTTTCCCGGTTTTCACCTTTTTCCTCAGATTTTTTTTTCTTTCTTTTCCCCCTTTTTCACCTTTTCCCTCGGATTTGGTTTTTCCTTCCTCTCCGGTTTTTTCCCCTGCCCTTGGGCCGCTCCTCCCTCGCGGTGAAATCACGATCGTGGTAACCACAGGCTCGGGTCGCTGATTCACCCGTGTATTTAATGTAAAAAACAACAAAAAAACGCCAACAAGGACAAAAAAAAAAAAAAACAAGGAAAAAATCCCAAAAAAACCAAAAATTCCCAACTTTTTTTTTGTGTACTCAAGGAGGGGACAGGCGACAACACCGAGGCCACCCGGTGCCACCTGCTGCCAGATGGTGCCCTGCCCTGATAAGGCTTATCAGAGCTGGCAGCTGCCTGGCGACTCCTGTTTTTTGCCGGTTTTTTTGCCTTTTTTTCCCGTTTTTTCCCCCAAATTGCCAGCGGGAAGTTCGGGAGCGGCGTTGCCCCTTTAAAGCCGCGTGGCCGCTTTAAGAGCCCCTTTGAGCGGGCGGCGGTGGGGCCCACCGCGAGGCCACGCCCACCCGGCCCCCGTTAAAGTAAACAGAGGGGGCGTGGCCAGGCGGGCGCGCCTTGCGGAGGCCACGCCCATCGCCCCCCTCTTAAAGCGGCCGCGCCCGCGGGGACATCGCGGGACCGGAACCGTTACGCAGGTGGGCGGCGGGGGGAACCGGGAACCGGGACAACCGGGACGGGAATGGGGCGAGAAAACCGGGAGAGGGGTGGGGCTGAGGGCAGGGAGAAGCGGGACTCCGTTGGGGCTGGAGGGAAAACAACGGGGACCGGGAGAGGTTTGGGGACAACCGGGACTGGCCTGGGCCTGCGGCGGGGACAACCGGGAGCGGACCGGGCTGGGGACGGGATAACCGGGACCGGGATGGCGCTGGGGACGGGACAACCGGGATGGGGCTGGGGACAACCGGACCGGGATGGGGACGGGGTAACCGTGATGGGGTTGGGGACGGGATAACCGGACCGGGATGGCGCCGGGGGAGGAGACAACCGGGACCGGGATGGGGACGAGATAACCGGGACCGGACCGGGCTGGGGACGGGACAACCGGGATGGGGCTGGGGACGACCGGACCGGGCTGGGGACGGGGTAACCGGACCGGGATGGCGCCGGGGGAGGAGACAACCGGGACCGGACCGAGCTGAGAACAACCGGGACCGGACCGGGCTAGGGACGGGATAACCGGACCGGGATGGCGCTGGGGACGGGACAACCGGGACCGGGATGGGGACGAGATAACCGGGACCGGACCGGGCTGGGGACGGGACAACCGGGATGGGGCTGGGGACGACCGGGACCGGACCGGGATGGCGCCGTAGGAGGGGACAACCGGGACCGGACCGGGCTGGGAACAACCGGGACCGAGCTGGCGCTGAGGACAACCGGGACCGGGACCGGGTTGGGGACGGGATAACCGGGACCGGGATAGGGTTGGGGACGGGATAACCGGGACCGGGATAGGGTTGGGGACGGGATAACCGGGACCGGAGTGGGGTTGGGGACGGGATAACCGGGACCGGACTGGGCTGGGCACAACCGGGACCGGGCCGGGGTTGCGGAGGGGCAGAACCGGAGCGGGAACCGGGCGCGGTTGTGCCGCACCGGAGGCTCCTGATTGTCTCCCCGGCAGCGTCACCGGCGCCGTTTCCCGGTCCCATCCCGCCGCCGCCGCGATGCTGCTGCTCCGGGCCATGGCCGGCCGCAGGTAGGAGCGGCCCCGCCGGGGCTCCCGGTGTCCCCCGGTGTCCCCCGGTGTCCCGGGACCGCTGTGACCCCGCTGTCCCCGCAGGCTCCCGCCGCTGATGCGGCTGCCCCGCGGCTGCTCCCGGTTGGCCGCCGGTAGTGCCGCCCCGGAGGGACACCGGGGAGCGGCCCCGGCCCCGGAGGGACACCGGGGAGCGGCCCCGGCCCCGGGAGAGCACCGGGGAGAGGCCCCGGGGGGACACCGCGGAGCGGTCCCGGTGCTGGCGGCGCTGCTCGGGCTCGGGACCGTCCTGGCCTACGGAGAGCGGCGGCGGAGGGTGAGCGACACCGCGGGGACACCGCGGGCGGTGGCACCGGGGTGGCGGCACCGGGAGGGGGGTGGCGACATCCTCGGGGTCCTTCACCCCACGGGAGAACCGGGGTGGGGCCGGATCGCGGCGGGAGGCGGCGCCTGAGGGGCGGATCCCGGTGAGAGGTGACACCGGGACAGCGGGAACGGGGAGCGGGGGTGGCACCGGGGGGTGGATCCCGGGGAAAGGGGTGGCACCGGGACAGGGGATCCCGGTACGGGAGTGACACCGGGAAAGGGACAGCCTGAGGACCGGGTGGCACCGGGACAGCGGAAAGCCAGGACGGGAATAGCACCGGGACAGGGATGACACCGGGACAGGAGGATCCCGGTACGGGGGTGACACCGGGACAGCGGTGACACCGGAATAGGGGGATCCCGGGACAGGGGGTGACACCGGGGCAGGAGGATCCCGGTACGGGAATGACACCGGGACAGGGATCCCGGTACGGGAATGACACCGGGACACGGATCCCGGTACGGGAATGACACCGGGACACGGATCCCGGTACGGGAATGACACCGGGACACGGATCCCGGTACGGGAATGACACCGGGACACGGATCCCGGTACGGGACTGACACCGGGACAGGGATCCCGGTACGGGAATGACACCGGGACACGGATCCCGGGGCGGCGCGGGGGTGACGCCGCGATCCCGGGATCCCGCTGACCCTCCCGGTACCCTCAGACCGCCGAGGCCGCCCAGGCCCCCCGTGCCCCGCGGTACCCCCGTTACACCCGGGCGGAGGTGGCGCAGCACCGCAGCCCGAGCGAGCGCGTGTGGGTCACGTACGGCACCGAGGTGTTCGATGTCACCGAATTCGTGGAGTTACACCCGGGGGGACCGGACAAAATCCTGCTGGCGGCCGGCGGCGCCCTGGAGCCTTTCTGGGCTCTTTACGCCGTCCACAGCCAAGCCCATGTGCTGGAGCTGCTCCGTGACTACAAAATCGGCGAGCTGAGCCCCGAGGAAGCCTCGCCGCCACCGGGCGACACCGGCGACCCGTTCGCCGGTGATCCCCCGCGGCACCCGGCGCTGCGGGTGAACAGCCTGAAGCCTTTTAACGCCGAACCTCCCCCGGAGCTGCTGACCCAAAGTTTCCTGACGCCCAACGAGCTTTTCTTCACCCGTAACCACCTCCCGGTGCCCTCCGTGGAACCGGGCTCCTACCGGCTGCGCGTGGAGGGTCCCGGTGGCCGCGCCTTGTCGCTGTCGCTGGCGGAGCTCCGGCAGCGCTTCCCGAAGCACGAGGTGACGGCCACGCTGCAGTGCGCCGGTAACCGGAGGTCGGAGATGAGCCGGGTCCGCCCGGTGAAAGGCTTGGCGTGGGATATCGGTGCCATCAGCACGGCCCGGTGGGGCGGGGCGCGGCTCCGCGACGTGCTGCTGGCCGCCGGCGTGCGCGACAACACCGGCGACAACACCGGCGACAACACCGGCGACGACCGCGAGTGGCACGTGTGCTTCGAGGGGCTGGACGCGGACGCCTCGGGGACGCCGTACGGGGCGTCCATCCCGTTAAAACGGGCGCTGAGCGCCGAGGCCGAGGTGCTGCTGGCGTACGAGATGAACGGGACGGAGCTGCCGCGGGATCACGGGTTCCCGGTGCGCGTGGTGGTGCCCGGTGTGGTCGGGGCGCGGAGCGTGAAGTGGCTGCGGAGCGTGGCGGTGTCGCCGGCGGAGAGCCCGAGCCACTGGCAGCAGAAGGATTACAAGGGTTTCTGCCCGTCCGTGGATTGGGATTCCGTGGATTTCGGGGCCGCTCCCGCCATCCAGGAGCTGCCGGTGCAGTCGGCGATCACCGAGCCCCGGCCCGGGGCTGCCGTGCCCGCCGGGGAGCTGACGGTGAAGGGATACGCGTGGAGCGGAGGAGGAAGGGAGGTGGTGAGGGTGAGTGGGGGAAATGGGGGGGAAATGGGGGGAAATGG